TGGAAAAACCACCAACCCGGGCCATTTTCAAGCGAGTTTTCAGAATTGATTAATTATAATAAACTTTCTGTTTCAGGTTGAGCAAAAATTAGCTATTGTAGTGGCACACACTTGTCTACCTGAATACGATTCCCAGACAGCTAGGCAATTTATTCGTGGTTTCCGATTCGGAATAGCTTAAGTTTCGAAACCAGCAAAACAGTATTAATTGATACTTTCCAGAGAAATCAAAAAACTGAATATTTTTTGGAACCTGGATACGTCAATTTGGGAGGATTACTATGGTGATAATAATGTATGAAACCTATCCCAAAACCATTTATTAGATATTCTTCCAATTTATAAACTTTTTGTTTTTTACCGAATCGAACATGCAGATTTGGAGAAAAAAAACCTTCTGAAATGGATTTCTGTTTCTTCAAGCTTCAATTTTTTCAAAAGGCATTGTCGGTTGAGGTTGAGATGGCTTCACTTGAGCGGCTACTGGTCGATCCTTTACAGCCGATTGTGTTGTAGTGGATGGAATAGCTGAAGTGGAATTCGATCCCAAGAGGAGAGCACTGGGAGCCGGAAGAGCTGACGCAACGTCCTGGATTATTCTGGATCGACGTTCTTCTTCAGACATGGTGATGGTCTGAGTTGATCGTCTCGTAACCAGAGATGAAGCTGATGTAGTGGCTGAGGTGGTTGTTGGAGCAATCGGAGCAGGCGCAGAGACCTTCCGACTCTCTGTTGCTGGAGGTGCCAGTGGACGGGAAGTTGTTGTCGTCGTTGCTGTAGCAGTGGTCGCAGCTGGAGGTGGGAGCTTGACCTGTTGTGGTTGAACTGACGCAGGTCTTGCTTGCCCAGGCTGTTGCTGAATTGGCTTCTGAACCACTGGCTGCTGGGAAATCACTGGTTGCTGTACCTTCTGTGGCTGAAGGGCTGGTTGACTCAACGGCATCCCTGCTCCATTTTGTGTTGCTCTCGGTAGTCCATTCGATGCGTTCCCGCCGCTCGTCGGTCGTCGACTCAAAATTCCTTTTAGCTCATCAGCCAACGCCTTCTGCAGTGGGTTCTGCTCCTGGTTGGTAGATTTTCTTGGTTGATGAGGTGCAGGTGTTGGTACCAGACATGGAATTTGCGCTGGTTGCTGTGGCATGGATGGAACGTTGACAACAGAGAATGGACGGTTGATTTGGGGGTTGTAAGCATTCTCCATTCCATTATTCAGAATCCCGATAGAAGATGCTGGTCTTGGTCGCATCATGTTATCACTCCCTCCATTCAAGCGTGACTGGAGCTCCGGGATCAAGTTGTTCGGGATGTTCTGCTTTTGCTGATTCAGAAATGATGGTTGACCCATATTCTCAAGTCTAGATCCGGCCGAGTTGTTATGACGAGGTGGCTGAAATAACTAAATTAAACCTAAAATCGTTGAATTAACAAAAATCTCACCTCATTACGAGACGTATCCGGCTTATCAACATAAGCGGTTGATCGGTGTGGCTGAGAAGTTCCGAATTTTTCGGGCAAGGGCATTGAGATTACTCCACTAGCCGTTGGAGCCACCAGAATTGGCCTGGATGAGGTTGGAGGTTGGACCTTCTCAATTGGGATTGGCTTCAGCACGTTTCCTCGAATGTCGAATGTTGGATCGCGACGTTCTGGTGCCTTGATCAAAATCGTTTCCTCTGATCTGTTCCCGTTGCTGATGATGATGTCGTTTCCCCAAGCTAAATATCGATTAATAATGAGAAAATCAAAACAAGGTGTTAATTTNTGGGCCCCCCCCCCCCTCTCACTCCTCTAATAGAAGCCCAGTTCAACCGTCAACTTAGAGCTCACTTATCTCGTTCTCTATAAAAGATATCTAAAATTT